CTGAGGTTATGTTCCCCATAATCATGTGTGACTACCAGCTATTTAAGCAGCAAACCCATGATTTCTTTAAAAGAAAATGAAAGTGAACTGAATTTTAAGGTTGGGAGAATTCTGTGATTGGTCCGAAAGCCTAAGAAATTCAATCACCAGAAGATGATTAAAGAGAGAAAGTCTTTGACATTTTGCAAAATCACAGAATTCCTTTTGCTTTTAAATTTATTTTTCTATGTGAATTCAACCTATGATAAATCAAATGATATTTCATTTTAAATTTTGTAATTTTTCAGATTATTTGATGGAAGAATATGTTTTCAAATAGTTAGCAGTTTTCCTGAGAGAAGATGAAACAGCTTGTCAATTAACACATGTCTTCAAACCATATTGCTCATCTTTTATCAAATCAGCGTAGGCAGAACTCATCATATACAAACACGGAGGAGGGAAGAAAAAAAATCATGATCCTTCTCTTCAAGAAGCCACCTTACTGAGATTAGATACACTGTCTGAGTGTGATACACTGTTCACAGCTCTGTGCCAACTTCAGCTTCATAAACACTTCAAAATACACAATATTTATTTGTAAATTCAAGTGGGAATTATAAAAAAGAATAAAATTGGCTCACAAGTTCACTAAAAGGTAATCTCTTTTTGTATCTTTTAAATTAATATATATGCATAATTAAAACATCCAGGTGAAGAAGTTATACAGTTATTAGCAAATCTCTCATCCCTTTTTTCAGTCTCTATTTCCTCTGCTCAGATATAACTATTTAAAAGTTACATTTATGATTCTAGAATTTTACACACATGCAGATATATAAGTATATACTTATATCTTGATATGTATTTTTAATTTATATAAAATTAATTATACTATATATATAATTTTATACCATGTTTTATTCCCCTTAATATAATTTGAACATTGTTTCATATCAAATACATGGTTTTTTTCACTAGTTTGTGAAACTACAGTACAGCAGTTGGTGTATTTTCCAGATTTACTCTGATAAATATCCTTGAACTTGGATCCTGGCTAAATCTTACTAGTTGTTCTTTTATAGATCGCCTCCACTCTGGGCTGTTAGTGTTTGAGACTGAAACTTGGTCAAATTGATTTAAGCAGAAGGTGAATTTCCTGAATAAGGTAATGGAAAATTCTAAACATTTCTGATTTTAGGCCTAACTGCATCAGTTATTTAAGGATGCCATCAGGTCAGCCCTGTGACTTTACTTCTAGAACAAGTCATCCTGTCCTCATGCTGGGAACATGATATTAGCTGTAAGCCACTGGCTTCTCTCACTAGATATTTCCTATTGGAAAGAGAAATTGTTCCTAAGTAATTCAAGCAAGAAATTAGAGAGGATTTTTATTCTCTTTGTGTAGTTTTCTGACCTACTGTTGAGCTGCTTCTGACATCCAAAGTCATGAAAGTAGGCCTCCATCCCATGTTTGAGCCTACGTAGGGCTGGCAGGTGGGGTTAGGCCCATTTGTGCCAAAAAAAAAGGAGTTCTTCCCCAACAAGGAAAAAAGTGCTGAGAAGGAAAACTCTGTGCATATCTAGCACAGCACTAATATGTCATCTTAAGTGGTATACTTTATCCAAACAAAGTGCTTTGCCCTTTAAAAAGTATGTGTTTAAATCATGTTTAGTATTAATATTATGAGCCCATCTTTCTTTTAATTAGATTTTTTTTGGTATATTTATCGTACCTTGGAAGAAACCTATTTCCATCCTGAAATTTCCATAAAGGCAAACTCCACTTTACTCTCCAGGAAGGAGAAGGCATGAGAGGACCAAATCAACACATGGGTGGGTATATAGAGTGCATTGATCCATTTGGTAAGATTGGCTAAAAAATAGTAAGCATGCTGTACGCAGTGCTGCCCTCTGTTTTTCATAGGCACCGAGCTTGGATTTTCTGTTTCCCATTGTGATGATCTAGGCTCTTTTGTTCCAGTTTTTTTTTCCTTTCATTCAGTGATTCATTGTAAGGGGAACATAATAGAAACTCACTGGACTTCACATTAAGTGGTATACTGATATGCAACCTTTATCAGTAATAATACTCAATTTGATTCTCATTTGTCTGAAGCCTGGGTCTTATTTCTGAACTTGGGACAAACCCTTAAAATCCCAACATACATTTTGTTATTTAGAAATTTTGAGAAATACTAATAATGAAATCCTTAAATACTAGGTAGGAAGTTTGAGGCTTTTGGCTAAGTCCATACCTTTAGAGTAAGAGGATGTTTACTGAAATAATTTAATTTCTGTGGTTGGCTATATCATTTCCACTGGATCACAGCCTAGATTACACTTGGTAAAGGAATCACAATAATATTCTGGCATCAAATTGAGATTCATCTAGCTAAAACTAGGCATAATAAAAAATAGCAATGTGGTATTTTAGGCTTTAATTTCTTTAGATTTAAGAATTTTAGCTTTTGATTTGATTAAAATTTAATTTAAAGGAGCAAGTTATCTGATTTATGGCCTTTATTTTTAACTGGAATACTATAATGGGAGGGAATAAATATTGGTTCAAATTTAGCATATTTTAGTAATACTGACATTTAAATATTTGGAGTAATTTTCTATTGGCATTTGGAGTTATTGCATAACATCCACGAGCCATCTCAGAACACATGGCTGGATATATTTCCTATAACATGTAAGCTAGGTGAATTAGACTAGAATTCGTTTAGTGAATATTTTTGCCTGGCATGCCTTCCAGAGGCTTCAGGCTCATGGATAAAAGCTGAGTTGCCTATTAGTAGTACTGGGCATACTCACCATGGAGCTACATAACTGGAGATAGGAGAGCAGCTCCATGAAGGTGAAAAATCTTACTTTCCTCATAGTGTGTTGCTTTTTAAAAACAAAATAATGGCAAAGTTTAACCAATGCAGTAGCTAAAAGAACACATACAGCGGCGTTGTTGTGGATTGTGGCAGCTGTGACAAATGAAGATGTAAGATGATGTTCAACTTAGATGGCTGGTCCCTGGACAGGTGTAATTCACTTTTATTAGACACAAGATTCTATATACTTTCTCTGTAACATTACATTCAACAATGAAGCATTGATTTGTATCCTATATTTCTAAAATAGGATATAGTTGACCAGCCTGCCTTTGGTTGACTGTAGCATTATTGTTAAGCCCAGTGGGGAAAGAAAGAAGGACGATGGGGAGAGTTGTGGAAAGGAGCACCTAAACCCATCTCCAGCGGGGGAAAGTATGGGAAAAATATATCTGCCCTTGCTCCCTGTGCCCCACCCTCCAGCCCCGACTGCTCCCTAAAGAAAAGTAATTCCTGAAGGAGTAGTGATTGATTGAACTGGGAAACTGAAATGGAACTGAGGGAGAATTCCCAGCTCAGCTCTGGCTTCATCTCACGATGGCGTTTTTCTGAAATTGCTCAGTTCTCTTCACATGATGCAGTAAACTCACTGACAGCTTCCCTTCATCTGCTACTTAAACTTCTTTGAATTCAGAGAGTATAAGAAACATCACTGAGCTCTGGCTGGTGTGTCTCAGTGGATTGAGTGCTGGCCTGTGAACCAAAGAGTCACCGGTTTGATTCCCAGTCAGGGTACATGCCTGAGTTGCAGGGGGCAGGTCCCCAGTAGGAGGTGTATGAGAGGCCATCACACATTGCTGTTTCTCTCCCTCTCTCCCTCCCTCCCCCTCTCTAAAAATAAATTTATAAACAACTAAAAAGAAAGAAATAAAAAGATTTTTTTAAAAAGAATCATCACTGATTATACATAAGGATGTATTTAAATCATAAACTTGTAAAATATTCCCACAGGTGTTTTGTTGCTAGTTCTTGGAATACACTAAATATAGCCAGGCAATCCTGCAACCTGGCTTGGGACCTATACCATAATTACAAACAAGCTACTTCTCAGTAAACTGATAGGGTGTTTTGGGCACCTCCTTGAGCATTTTCCTATAAAGAGCTTAGATCAGGGGTGTCAAACTCATTTTCACTTGGGGCCACATCAGCCTTACAGTTGCCTTCAAAGGGCCGAATGTAATTTTAGGACTGTATACATGTAACTACTCCTTAACAGTTAAGCGAGAGCTTGGCACTACCACTGGGTAGCAACAAGTGCTGGGCTGGATAAAACAAGATGGAGGGCTGGATTTGGCCCTCGGGCCTTGTGTTTGCCACCTGTGACTTAGCTACAGGCTTCTATGTGTTTTTTTTTTTTTAAATCATTACATCAGCATGTGTATGACCCCCCTGTGTTCGATCTATCTTATTGGTAAACTTTCACATTCACCTCTGCTATGTCTTCCCAGAAAATTAAAGCCTTTTCTATTTCCACGTACCATAGGTTTCTGCTAAATCACTGTTCCCACACAACTTGCTTCCGAGGCAGCCAATACCGCCAGCTCCCTATGTCCCTTTCTGAGTCTACTAGAGCCCGTGGTTTATACAAATAACATACATCTGATTTAAATGTTTTGAATAAAACTCCCAGGCTAAACTTTGGAACTTTCAATACCAAAATGACTTAACAAGTAATATATTTTTCATTTAACAATGTGATTTTTTTGAAATATTTCATTTCTCTGTCACTGTTTATCTCCCCAGTAATATATTTCCCAGTAGCATCAATGTATTTCTCTAAGATAACAGACTTTGGAAAGTTACCAAAGATAAATGAATATTCCAGTGCCTCCAGAGTAACTCATAAACTTGAATGAGAACACAACATTACTGGGAAGGAATGAAATGTCAGAAATAGAGTGTGCCAATTTTAAATTACCACATAGGCAGGATTGAATCTATTGCTCTGTCTGTACTCTTCACACTACAAAATTTAACTCAATATCTGTTTTTCTTTTCCAGAAAGAGACAGAATAATATCATAATGAAGAAGTCCAAGCAAAGCAGCAGAATCACAAGCTCGTGACCGGTTTTCAGCACTGATACACATTTCCCTTTGTTCTCTTGCCCAGCCTTTCCAAAATCCTATAAAAGCCGGTGTGGGCCCACAGCTGAACACTTGTCTAGTTCTTACAAATCATTTCCCTAAAAGAGTGAAAACTACCAGACAGCTGCCGCAGTTCAGCTTACAGGGAAAACACAGAATGTCATTTTCAAGGTAAGTATGCAGCTGTCTTCCTGTCACTTAAGGTTTTATAAGACAAATCTAATTAAATGCCTACTAGAAAGCTGACAGAACAATTCTTAGCATACTGATGCAATCTGTTGTAAGGCAGCATGACCACAATGCGTTTCTCTGTTTAGCCTCCAGCTAGCAAACCAGGAAGCCCTTGTATGTAACTGCTCTCTTTTCTAAGATGCTTAAGGTATGTATTAAATTTATTTGTATTTCACTTTTTAATTGAGCTTCTTCCCTCAATAAGAAATAGAAGATTGGTTAGGATGGGAAAACTTTAATATTTCTTAGGTAAAAGAGGAGTTTTTTTAATCTAGTCTTCTGAATTAAATATTAAATTTTTTAACTCCCTAGGCTGTTCCTACTTTTTCTTCTATAACATACCAAAAAATATTTTGAAAATATTTAAATTAGAAACTGAAATCAAGCCTATCATCTTCATTTATTTTGCTCAGTTCGCAGGTAGATCTTTTTCTAATTTTAAGTTAAAAAGCTGGCAAAAACTCTCCAAATTCCAAGCTTTTGAATGGAATATAATTCTAAAAAGCTTCCTTTCTCATCATTATATGAGCTTGCACCCATGCTCTATGTGTAACAGTTTGATGACTAAATGCTTGGCAAAGTTGTATTTTCTTGTGCAACTGAGGCAGATGCCTCAGGTGAATACCATTTATTTATGAATTTGTTTTGTTTATCTATTTGTATTCCTTACAATTCTAATGGAACTATAAATTGTTACTTATTTGAAAGATAGATTTGTGTCTCTGAAGTGAGTGTTAAGCTATGCACTACATAAGGCGGTGACTAGTGTCTCCACAGTGGTTTCCTTGTGTCAGGTTTACAGTCAATAATGCTAATTTGTATGGATTAGTCCCTTTAGTATTGTGTTAATGCAAGCCTGTTATCAATTCTTATAAAAATTAGTTTATCAATTGTTTCACAATTTAAATATGTTTTAAGGACTGAGGAAAGACTACAGTATAAAGGAGGCCTGTGAAAGTGAGTCCAAGGCATACTTTTTCACGAAGTAATGGAGACGAGAAAAAATTAGCTCTAGGGGAAACACATTGCTTATTTAAATGGGGAAGCGTCCATATTCATAATATGTCTTTGTCATGCACTTTGTTGTTATTTTTAACACTGGAAGGAAACTTCAGATATACCTGTGTATTTGTGAGAAAACAGAGAGACCAGGATTGTTGTATTTACTTGAGGTCGTGCAGTGTCATTAGTATTAGAACCTGTGCTCTGTCTCCTACTAAAAATAGTCCTTTACATTGGACTTTAAGATATTTAGAATTCTTGTTTTCCCAGAATTCATATTCCTGTAGCTATGATGTTGGCCAGGAAAGAAAAACTCAATAAGTGTGAAAATATTCATTAATAAACTGAACATTATAAAATTCTGCTTAAAACTGGCTTTTTTTCTTGCTACGTCAGACTCATTACCTACATATTAATCCATTTGCAGTATAATGATAAAGCAACTGAAGAATTGGTGAAGTCAAAGAGTATGTTAAGGTGTCAAATTTTTAAAGTGTCAATAAGGTAGATGTTAACACCTGCAAAAGAAAAAAATTGATAAGGAGAGTGAAAGAATGTGTTAAAAAGAATGAATTTCCAATTATTTTGAGAGCTCCATAGGAAAATTGATAAAACACTTTATATTTTGGAAAAAAATGTTTCAATACACAAATCAAATATGAGATGAAGAATGCTGTATTATAACATCATACCATTTCATCACAAACATGATATAAAATCAATATCTGATCAATTTTAATTTTTTCTCACAAATATTGTAAAGTTTAAAAACAAACTAAAACTTCCTACTTAATATTTTAAAATGTGATTTTTAAAGGAAAAACTTTTATATTTCCCACACTGTTTACTATGAAATGTTCCATGTTTAAGTACATTTACTATAAATTAACCTTATTGGAATGTAAAATGCACCCATTTTTAAATATACCTATGGATGAGCTTTGATAAATGTATCTCTTCATATAATCACTACCACCATCAAGAGAAAGAACATTCTATCATTTTATATCTGTAAAAATGGTTCTCATTTGCTTTTATAAACTATTCCCCTTCTCTCCCCTGGCCCTAGGCAATCATTGTGGCTTACTTATAAAAAATATATTTTGAAATGAGTACAGATTCACAGGGAGGGCATGTTGGAGGAGGTCATGGAGAGGATGCAATCACCAGTTGACCTGTCAAGGAGTTCTGGGCACTTGAAAGTTTCTTGCCCTTCCTACGCTCCTCAGAATGTATGCCCCACCCATGGTACTAGAAACCCCTTCAAGGACACAGCTTTGAGAGATTAATTTGTGATTGAGACCATCTGGGCACATTCAGAACTGTACCCAGTTAAGGCTTCTATATACACTCTTAAGATCCTGGTGCGCAATGTGGAGATCTTTCCCAGTGGCTGCTGAAGATAAGCCTTGTAATTTTCCTTGCTTTTTTTTACCTGCCACCTACCATTCTGGAGTGGCCTACCTCTTTTTTGGTTTCCCTTGCTCTCCTTATGTAGGGCCCTGTTTCTTGTTCTTTTTTTTAAATTGAAATTATTGGGGTGGTCTTGGTTAATAAAATTATATAGGTTTAAGTGTGCAATTCTATGATACATCATCTGTATAATGCATTAGTGCCCACTACCCAAAGTCAAATATTTTTCCATTTCCATATATTTAACCCTCTTTACCCTTTATTACCACCCTTGCCCTCCCTTTCCTCTGATCTTTCAGCTGGAGAAGTCGAGGTTGCATGGTGGGAACCAGGGGCCCACCATACCATGTGATAGCTGGCTGACGGTGGAAGTTCAGATTCATGCTCAACTCTGCAGCTGAGGAAGGAACAAATTTTCCTTTGCTCCTTGGTGGGCAGAGAGTGTACATTGTTAGAAAGGTTACCTTTTAGGCCTCTCTTTTCCTGATCCTTTGGCTAGAGTGAGCAGGCTTTTCTTGGAGTTTCTTTTGTCTGTGCCTGTAGAAATGTAATTTCTTGGATGAATCTTGTATGCTGCAATCTGGATAAACTCACATGAATACTAGCAGCTTTTTTGGTGGATTCCATCAACATAAACAATCACATTCTATATGAAAAAAGACAATTTTACTTCTTCCTTTGTAATTTCAGTCTTTTATTTCTTTTGAATTGTCTGAAGCTCTAGTGCAATGTTGAGTATAAATGGTGCTAATGGATTTCCTTGTGTTGCTGTTTTGTGTGGAAAGCATTTAATTTTTACTGTTATGTGTAAGGGTAAACTCAGGTTTTTCTCTTAAGTGCCCTTTATGAGTTTAAGGAAGTATCCTTGTATTGTTTGTTTGCAGATATTTATTGTTGTTTTGTTGATTTTTTTATTTCTATAATGAGGAGTAAGCATTTTTCTGAGTGCATTTGGGAGTATCATATTTTTTTAATTGTTATATTCTGAATTTGATTGAGTGACTTCCAGATATTAAACCAAACTTACATTTCTGAGATAAACCCCAAAGGGTCACACGATACTATTATATGTGCTTTTGGATTTACTTTACTGATATTTTGTTTTCTTAAAATATATAGAGAAATCATAGTGTCTTTGAATGGGTTAGAAAATCTTTCATCCTCTTCAATTATCTGGAAGAGTATGCATAGAATTTGTATTATTACTTCACTAAGTAATATTTGTAAAATTTACCATTAAAATAATTTGTGCTTGGGATTATTTTATGGGAAGGGTTTTTAAAAGTAAATTCAATATTATTAATAGATATACAACTCCTCAGCTTATCTGTTTTTTACTTTTTTAATGAATTTGTGCTACTGTTGTCATTTCAGATGATAGGGTAAATGATATTATGATTTCATTCCTGTTATTTTACCCCAAAATGTAGCAAAATCCTCTTTTTCTTTCTTTGTAAACACCTCTATTGAACATTGCTTAACCACCCTATGTAAGAAAATACTATACCTAAGAAATTCCAGGAGGAAATTTAGATTCTAAGGGCAAAAAATAATATAACACAAAAGATTAGCTTGAAATATGACCTATGCATTTTAAAGCTAAGTGATTAAAATTATAGCAAGAACAAAATTTGGCTTTTTAATATTTTGATAGGATATCACAAGTGAAATAAATGGTGTATACAAGTTTAGAAAGATCATTTATCTTTCCTACAAAATATATTTAGAAATCAAGTCCTGAGCTCTGAAAATAATGGAGATGTATTTCTTGACAAGTACCATATTTTAGGACTGGAAAACACACTGCACCATAAGACACACCTAGGTTTTAGAGGAGGAAAATAGGGAAAAAATTTTGAAGCAAAAAATGTGGTAAAATATTTACTAACCTATGACCCTGCTCCACTGCTCCCCGCAACAGCGAGCCAGGTAAGCTACATTCGGACTTTCAGATGCGCCCCCATTTCCCTCCCAAATTTGGGGGTATGTGTCTTATAGTCTGAAAAATATGATATATGCACTTAGAAAATTATTTTGAATTTTAGAAACTTTGAGGAAAAATATTTGACACTTTTTATAGAATTTAATATTGCCCTCAAATAGAGTAGATAGAATTTAAAATTGTTTCTAGGCTGATAAAGAGATATTATTAATATAGGCATTTTAATTATTTATAGCTCATAAATACACACTTAGAGAAGAATGATACACATCTAAATTTATGACACTGGTTAACTCAGATGAGATGGAGAGAGAGGGAGAAAAATAATATCAATACCAATAGCCTGGCTTCAGGTTTCCTCCCCTGGGCAAGATGACAAGGAGGAACCATGGCACTGAGCACGTGCAAGGCTGGGATGGGACCAGGGGAAGGTGGGCACATGCACCATTGAGGTCAGTCAGAGTGGTGGCAAGCGTATAGAAGAAACCAGTCAGTCTAGTGGGGGAGGGAGTGTGGAAAAGGGATTGGTTAAGGGATATGGATCTTCCGTGAAAGCTGGGGCTAAAAAAGCACCTGGTCCAATGAGTATAAACCCTGGGAAAGGAAGGGACGGCTGTCTTGCCCACCTCATGAATGTACTGAGCTGTGTGTTTGCGGGACCTTCTGGCCCTGGAAGCCACGTGGCCAATGGTGGTACCAGCCCCACACATGGGTTCCAAGGAGGAAGTTTGAGGCTTCAGGGTGACTGGAAGAAAAGCTACGCTGCCTGGACGACCATTCAGTGGCTGTCT